TTGCTATTAAGGTGTTATATTTAAATTGTACGTTAACAAGTTGAACTGAAGTTCAAGTGAGGGTTGCATTTTGCGGTTTAGTCATGTGTCATAATGTCAGTTGTATTCAAAAAATCCTTTGTTACAATGACGTATATCACGTATACATTGTTTGATTTATGCATACATCTAAACGGCTGTAATCTGAACAAGGGGATCAATCAACAATACCCCCTATTATTGATTTATCCCCTTGTTCAGATTACAGCCGATAGTTGATAATATACAATACCGATAAGCTATGGCAAAATAAGGCTTCATTTACAGCCTCAAATATATCAAATGGTTTTTTTAATATTATAGGTCTATTGTCATGACATTGTTACATGGCATGATTAAATATCAAGCTATAAAACACCGACATGGTCCGAATCAATAGCACTCGTCATGTCATCCACGCCACCAGAAATCCGAACACACGTACACTGCAAAGAGACCTCTTTTCATTCAACTATAACCATCGGGTATTCCCAAACATCAGATGGCTACGCGATAAATTGCAAATAAACATTGAAGAACGCAGCGTGGTTTATTTCACGATATCACATTGTCCTGTCACATTGACGTCATTTGTTGTGATTCGAACGTGCGCGCGCAACTTGATGACATCGTATGTTCGACGACGTTATTTTTGAGAGGGGAGTTTTTGGAGATGTTCCCCATAGAGGTAGCAGGGCAGCGCAGATAAACGCGATGGCCGAACGATCGCATCCCAAACCGGGAGAGACATGACAATCGCTATTGGGAGAAAAGGGAGAGGTAATCGGTATTGTAGCCCCCATGAAGAACTATATCAAATGAATACAATAGCCATTTACAAATGTTATATTTGGGATAACACGTTCTGAGTAAAGTGCCTTTCTCCTTACCACCTTCTGTCTTCACCTCCTTGGCTATTGGTCAAGCTGGCGGTAGGCTCGAGCACCGAGAACTAATGTATCAACAGGAATATCTACCCCTGGAAACAGCACTAACGGTACAACACAATTGTTTCAATAACAAATGAAACAAGTCCTGGAATTAAACCACCATCTGAAACCACCATCCCTCTGCTAAAGAATAGCTTTAAATGACGATATTGAAGCACAGCTACTTGGGAAGGCTGTCTCCCCCAAACCATATTCTCTTGACGCCCATAGCTTTGAAAGAATGGAATACATTCCGCTTTCTCGCTATCTTTGCGCCTCCGATCTCCTCCTCTGTGCCTCCGATCTCCTCCCTGCCTCCGATCTCCTCCTCCCTGCCTCCGATCTCCTCCTCCCTGCCTCCGATCTCCTCCTTCGTCCCATGTTCACCTGGACGGATTAAACACTACAAGACGGTGGATTTTATTACCTAAATATGATACTTGAACAAACTGAATTTTCGAGAACATGTGAGTAGCGTCACCACTGACGTCAACGTCAAACGGTTGTTTTTATATTAAATATATAAACACGTGTTTGTAACAGTAATCACCAGTGTATTGTGTGTACAAGATACGTTCCCGACTTCAATCAGTTATCGCGTCAATGAAATAGGCGATCTTTTTGTTCCAAAGGGCAATAACTCTCCTTTTGAAATGATATAAGTTACACATATTGACTTATTCACTCAGGCGGTTGGGTAGCCTAGTGGTTAAAGCGTTCGCTTGTCATGCCGACGACCCGGGTTCGATTCCGACATGGGCACAATGTGTGAAGCCCATTTCCGGTGTCCCCCGCCGTGATATTGCTGGAATATTGGTAAAAGCGGCGTAAAACATTACTCACTCACTCAGGCAAGGTATATTTGTCCTTAAATTGTTCATTCAATATAAACTAACGGGCAAAAGAAACGCCAACAAACAATTTTCGGGTCTGAAACAAAACAGACGCACATTTTAGTAAAAGTTGATGTTTTATTATTAAAAAAAAACAATTATTCCAAAACGGTATTTGAAAATGACAAGATCAAAAACCATGTACTTAAAGTTCTGCCGACACGTTTATCATGCCAGATGCATTGTCCTGTATTCGATCACACCCGCAGAAACGACGTCGATTTCTTTTAAAGACCCGTGCTACACACATGGCCTTGTATCGGATGTGACCCCCTCCAGCAACGATGCAGGCCCTAACACGACGTCGAACTGAGTACACGAGTCTCCCCACATCCTGATTAGGGATCCTACGCCATTCTTCCTGCAGGGCAATTGCCAAGGCTCCCCTCGTCAATGGCGGCTGTTGACGTTTCCGAGTCCTGCGTCCAAGTTGGTCCCAGAGGTGGTCCGGTGATCTGGCTGGCCACTGTAATACGGTCACGTTGTTGGCGTTCAGAAAGCGGCAAGTGACTCGAGCTGTATGAGGGGTGGCGTTGTCCTGCTGAAACAGCGTCCGTGGGTGTCGTTGCAGGAAAGGCAGTACCACAGGCGGCAAAACCTCATCAATGTAATGACATGCAGTGAGATTTCCGTCGGTGATGACCAGATCTGTCTTCTGGTCCCCGCAGATGCCACCCCAGACCATGACACTACCACCTCCATAAGGCTCCACTTCTTGGACGCAAAAACATGCCGTCCGTTCACCACGTCGTCGGTAGATTCGAACCCGCCCACCAGACTTGAAGAGCTGGCACCAACTCTCTGGACTTAATACCGGTCTTCCTGTGGGGTCGCGACCTTGGGTCTTCCAGTCCTCCGCAAGTCTGCAGAACTGCCAGTTTTCCTGTGACGTGTGACAAGTCTGGCGATGGTGCACTTGAAGCAGCCCTGGCAACGTGCTCCTGCGTCGCTCCCATTTGCAACATACCGATGGCTCCCCCCCCCCCCCCCCCCCCTCCCCACCCCCCCACCCCCTGCTCTGCGGTTAGTCGAGGCATGTTCGTTGTTTTAATCGGTTTATGTGATGAGAGAGTACAATCCTGCTCATGGTTTATACCAGAATTTCATACGGGTAACTTTGTGCACATTTTGCAATTTTCAGTGATTAAATTCACTTTTCTCGCAAATCACGAGAAGCACGTGCACATGTTCACAGGGAATAGGTAAGTTAAATTTAATTAATAATTGCATTTCAGCTATGTGTTTCCAACTGTTTTCGTGCTGTTTGGCAAATTTGTTGAAAACTGACGACCATTATTTATTTGGTGACGTTTCTTTTGCCCGCTAGTTTACATATTGCCTGACAAATAGGACTGGATTGTAGACATAAATTAGACTGCATAATATAATCTCCAATTGATTCTCGAAACATGAAAGAATACTATTGTCCTTTTTATGTTACTTATCTTTATTTACATAACATGCAGTTCAGCAACAGATAATGACTGCTAAAATGTCATGCATGTGTACAAGTATAACAAGATATCATATAAAATAATTATAGCAATATAATTTTCTTAAATGTTTTTATATTACAAAAGGTCATGACAATATAAATCTTTTATTTATCATATTGAAATATATCCTGCATTTATGCATGCAGGCCCCCCTGCTGAATTGGTATAAAAATCCACATCAACGGCTGTTCATACGGTCCTTATAACGGCAGTAGAGGTGGTGACAGAATGCCAAGACTGAATGCAGCTCAACGGAACAACGCCATTGGGAGATTACAAGCTGGAGCAACTCAGCAAGAAGTGGCCAGGCACTTTGGCGTAACCAGACAGACAATCTCCGCACTGTGGACCCGATACAACAACACCAACAGAGTTGACGACAGACCAAGGTCAGGAAGACCAAGGGTGACAACCAAAGCGCAAGATCGATACATCCGACTGCGACACCTCCGAGACCGCACTACCACAGCCACGTCTACAACCACACAGATCCCTGGGGTACGCAGAATATCAGATCAAACGGTACGCAACAGACTGAGGGAGGCTGGACTTTTTGCGGACGTCATGTATTGACCCCACGTCATCTGGCGGACCGTCTGCTTTGGTGCCAACATAGGGTTAGATGGGCACGTACAAGGTGGAGAAATGTACTGTTTACTGACGAGTCCCGTTTCCTACTCACACGTGCTGATGGGCGCGCACGTGTCTACAGACGTCGGGGTGAACGTTACGCCCCCAACAATGTGCAGCAGGTTGTCCCATTTGGCGGCGGGAGTGTCATGGTATGGGCCGGAATTCATCACGGTGGTAGGACGCCTCTCGTGCATGTGGCAGGTGCATTGACAGGTGTGCGTTATAGAGACTTGATCCTACAGCCTTACGTTCTTCCTCACGTCAACGTTCATGGCGGACAGTTCCAGCAGGACAACGCCCGACCGCATATTGCACGTGTTTGTCAGGACTTCTTACAGCACAACAACATCCAGACATTACCGGTCACCAGATTTGTCCCCGATTGAGCATCTGTGGGACGAGTTGGATCGACGTGTTCGCAGAAGGAATCCACCGCCCCAAACACTTCCGGCGCTTCTTGATGCACTTCAGCATGAATGGCAGCAGACCCAGCGTGTTATTGACAACTTGATTGCATCTATGGGTCGTCGGTGTCAAGTGGTGATTGATGCACGTGGTGGCACAAACGATACTGACATTGTCTGTGCCCCTGTGACATTAACTGTATCGTGTACGTGTGTCTGTCTAGGTGACACGATTAATGTTTTGAACATTGTGTACATTGATCTTCAAACAGTGTTTCAATTTTGGTTTCTGTGTCCTATTTTGAAACAATCGCATTATATTCCATTTTGAAAGTCAGTGTCAAGTTTCTTTTTTTGAAGAGTATATAATCATGGCAGTATTTTGCAACAAACAGACACCATTCATCCATAAAATCCTTTTATACAACATGCACCACTTAACCAGAAATGGGGTTCACACATCACACATTGTACTCATGTAGGGATCCGAGTCCGGGTCTTCGGTGTGTCTAGCGAACTCTTTACCCGCTAGGCCACCCCCACCGGCCCCTCCCCGGGAAGCCAGTGTTTAGTAATAAAGCCACCTATACATACACTTAGGTAATGTTTGTGCTCTTTCTTCTTCAGGACACGCCTCTGACAACATCGCCTTGGGTAAAGCAACAACCCAGAGTTCAACATGGCGGAACTTTGTCCCTGGGCTTGGCGTTGACGGCAACACTGGGCAGCATCTGTTCCGTGACAATTGCACTCATACGCTGGACACGGGCGAGTTCCAGCCGTGGTGGCGGGTGGACCTCGGGGCGGACTATGCGGTGGACAGTGTGAGGATCACCAACAGGGTGGACTGTTGCGGTGAGGCTGATGTACATTATTGTGCGATTTCTATAGTGCCCGACCCAACCTTTCTACTGCGAGGCCTTTCTTGTATCCGCCTTCTCTATTGTACGACATCTCTAGTATCGGTCTTTTCTGTTTTGCGACCTCTATACTGTCCGACCTCCTATTGTACGATCTGAGTAGTGCCCGACCCGTCCTTTCTATTGTGAGACCGCCTCCGTGGGCTTGTGGTAGAGCGGCCGCCCGGAGAGCGGAAGGTCCGGGGTTCGATCCCCGGCCGCGTCATCCCAAAAGACGTTAAAAGATGGTACTTGTTGTTGGCATTAAGGGCTAAAACAAGGACTGGTCGGCTCGGAGTCAGTATACTGTGTCTGAGTGGGGCATGTTAAACTGCGGCATGGTATCTCAGTGGGCTAGCACTATAAATCGGCATCAGTCCGGACTAGTACAAGCAGCCACACACACACACACAAGTGCATGCACGTCGCTATATAAGTGCAATAATCTTGGACGAGACGTTAAACTCAATTTCACCAAATTCACCTTACCTCACCTCACCTTTCTATTGGGAGACCCTTCTTGTATCCGCCTCTCTATAGTACGATATCTCTGGTATCGGTCTTCTCTGCCGTGCGACCTCTATAGTGCCCAACCTCTCTATTGCATGATCTGAGTAGTACCCGACCCGTCCTTTCTTGTATCAACCTTCTCTATTGTGCGACCTCTATAGTACCCCTCCACAGTGAGACCTTTCTAATATCCATTTTTTTATTTATGCGACCACTCTAGTATCCGTCCTCTCTATTTTGCGACCTCTCCAGTGTCTGTCCTCACTATTGTGCGAATTTCTAAGATTCGTCTCTTCTATTGTGGGAACCCTCTTGTTTTGTCTCCTTTATTGGGAGACCTCTCTTATACCCGTCTCCTCCAGTTTGTACCTGGGCAGATTGTGTAGCGAACGAATTGATTAGAGAAAAGTCAATATCTTCACAATGTAAAATCCAATGCAAGTATAAATGCGTCTTCCTGTACTGTGTTGACCACCAAGGAGTATTGTTCTTACAATTATACAGACAGGACATGTTAGCTGGTTTGAAACATTGTCCGTCACGTCTGTGTATTGACCTTCTAAGAATATTGATCTCAAATACCCGAATTCATCACATCCTCAAGCAGCAATGTTACAAAAACGCGGATCCGTCTGTCATACACCTAAGGTATCTCTTGAATTTCATCTCTTTGTTGCGATCCTGTTCCAGCTCAAAGATTGGCCAATTTCAATGTGAGCGTTGGGCAAAATGCCGGCAGCCTCGTGCACTACCAACTGTGTTATTTCCACAACGGGCACTACGGCACAACGACAAAGTCCATCGTCTGTGACTCCAGGCCTGTAGGACGCTATCTGAAGATTCAGCTGACTGAGTTTGAACGCCTCACACTGTGCGAGGTGGCCGTGTATGGAGCTCTTGGTATATGCAACCTCCCTAGTATCCCCTTTCCGTTGTTGCGACCTTTCTTGTATCTGTCCTCACTATTGTACGACCTCTGTAGCACAAGTCCTCACTATTGTGCGACCTCTTTAACATCCGTCCTCACTATTGATGACCTCTATAGTATCAGTCCTCACTATTGTACGACCTCTATAGTATCTGTCCTCACTATTGTACGACCTCTATAGTATCTGTCCTCACTATTGTACGACCTCTATAGTATCTGTCCTCACTATAGTACGACCTCTATAGCATCCGTCCACACTATTGTACGACCTCTGTAGCATCCGTCCTCACTATTGTACGACCTCTGTAGCATCCGTCCTCACTATTGTACGACGTCTATAGTATCTGTCCTCACTATTGTACGACCTCTGTAGTATCTGTCCTCACTATTGTACGACCTTTATAGCATCCGTCCTCACTATTGTACGACCTTTATAGCATCCGTCCTCACTATTGTACGACCTCTGTAGCATCCGTCCTCACTATTGTGCGACCATTTTAACATCCGTCCTCACTATTGATGACCTCTGTAGGATCAGTCCTCATTATTGTACGACCTCTATAGTATCAGTCCTCACTATTGTATGACCTCTAAAGCATCCGTCCCTCTATTGTACGACCTCAATCGTATCCGTCCTCACTATTGACGACCTCTATAGTATCCGTCCTCACTATTGATGACCTCTATAGCATCCGTCTTCACCATTGTACGACTTCTATAGCATCCGTCCTCACAATTGTATGACCTGTTTAGTATCCGTCCTCTCTACTTTGTAACGCCTATAGTACCCGTTTATCACAACTGTACGACCTCTCTAGTATCAGTTTATTCCATTGTATGAACCCTCTAGTATCCTTCCTCTCCATTTTGCGACCTCTCTAGTATCAGTGCTCTCTATATTGCGACCTCTCTCGTGTCAGTGCTATCTATTTTGTTACCTCTATAATATCAGTGCTCTCTATTTTGCGACCTGTCTAATATCAGTGCTCTCTATTCTGCGACCTCTCCAGTATCAGTGCTCTCACAGACAAAATGTTCATCTACCTTCAAATTATGTTGAATCTATGTTTCAGCTTCGTACGCCAATTCTCCGTCATCAGAACCGTTATCATCGACACTTTCAAGCTCCCTACTAATGTCATCGTACACAACATCACCGACGACATATGATCAAGCGGTCAGGTCACACGTGTCTTCAGCAACTTCGGAGATATTACAGACGGATCCCCTGGCTGACACTGACGTCCCCACGACAGGTATAAAAACATCCTTCCTACATCACGACAGTCCCTCTATCACACACACGCTGCATGGCACAGAAACCAGTATACAACCGAGTTTCGCTTCAACCCATTAAACCACAAGTCCAATAACTCCGCAGTTACTGGACATGACGTCACAGGCACGTGACGACACTACATACGTAGAGTTGTCTACCTTTGAGAGCAGCCATTTTCAAACCTCTCGTCTTCGTATTCTCTTTTGTCCGACCTCTTCCGGATCCAACCTTTCTATTTTATTGTGCGACATCATATCTGCCCTCTCTTTTGTACGATATATCTTGGCTATTGTACGGCCGATCTCGTATCTGTCCCCACTATTGTACAACCTCTCTAGTATTCGCCTCCCCTATTGTTGGACTTCCCTATTGTATGACGTTTCTATCATTCGCACACACTTGTATACAACGTCTCTAGTTTCCTACACTTGGCCGTTAGGACTTGGTTGACGACACAGTGACGATAGGACTGGTATTGCCTACTGAAACTTTGGAACTGGTATTGCCTACTGAAACTTTGGGACTGGTATATCCTACTGAAACTTTGGGACTGGTATTGACTACTGAAACTTTGGGACTGGTATTGACTACTGAAACATTGGAACTGGTATTGACTACTGAAACTTTGGGACTGGTATTGACTACTGAAACATTGGAACTGGTATTGACTACTGAAACTTTGGGACTGGTATTGACTACTGAAACATTGGTTCTGCTTGTGTGCTGGAGATGAGAATCCCACTGTGACTGCTTGTATGTATGCTGGAGATGCGAATCCCACTGTGGATGACTGTTTGAATGGTGTGAGATGAGAATCCCATTGTGGGTGACTGCTTTTGTGATGGAGATGAGAATCCCACTATGGATGATTGCTTGAATCGTGTAGACGAGATTTCCTCTATAACAGTTTCTATGGTGGATACGAGAATCCCACGGTAACTGCTTCTATGATGGAGACGAGAATCCCACTGTGACAGCTTGTATGGTAGAGATGAGAATCCTATTGTGACTGCTTGTATGGTAGAGATCAGAATCCCATTGTGACTGCTTGTAAGATGGAGACGAGAATCCCACTGTGACTGCCTGTAAGGTGGAGATGAGAATCCCACTGTGACTGCTTGAATATTGGAGACGAGAATCACACTGTGACTGCTTGTATGGTAGAGATGAGAATCCCAATGTGACTGCTTAATTGATGGAGACGAGAATCCCACTGTGACTGCTTGGATGGTGGAGACGAGAATCCCACTGTGACAGCTTGTATGGTGGAGACGAGAATCCCACTGTGACTGCTTGAATGGTGGAGACGAGAATCCCACTGTGACTGATTGACTGGTGGAGACGAGAATCCCACTGTGACAGCTTGTATGGTAGAGATGAGAATCCCACTGGGACTGCTTGAATGGTGGAGACGAGAATCCCACTGTGACTGATTGACTGGTGGAGACGAGAATCCCACTGTGACAGCTTGTATGGTAGAGATGAGAATCCCACTGGGACTGCTTGAATGAGGAAGACGAGAATCCCGCTGTGACTGCTTGTATGGTAGAGATGAGAATCCCACTGTGACTGCTTGAATGATGGAGACGAGAATCCCACTGTGACTGCTTGTATGGTAGAGATGAGAATCCTATTGTGACTGCTTGTATGGTAGAGATCAGAATCCCATTATGACTGCTTGAATGATGAAGACGAGAATCCCACTGTGTCTGCTTGTGTGGTAGAGATGAGAATCCCACTGGGACTGCTTGAATGATGAAGACGAGAATCCTATTGTGACTGCTTGTATGGTAGAGATCAGAATCCCATTGTGACTGCTTGAATGATGAAGACGAGAATCCCACTGTGACTGCTTGTATGGTAGAGATGAGAATCCCACTGTGACTGCTTGAATGATGGAGACGAGAATCCCACTGTGACAGCTTGTATGGTGGAGACGAGAATCCCATTGTGATAGCTTGAACAGTGGAGACGATAATCCCACTGTGACTGCTGGTAAGGTGGAGACGAGAATCCCACTGTGACTGCTTGTATGGTGGAGACGAGAAACCCACTGTGACTGCTTGTATGGTGGAGACGAGAATCCCACTGTGACTGTTTGTATGGTGGAGACGAGAATCCCATTGTGACTGCTTGTATGGTGAAGAGGAGAATCCCATTGTGACTGCTTGTATGGTGGAGACGAGAATCCCACTGTGGGTGATTTCTTGAATCGTGGAGACGAGAATTTCTCTGTGACAGCTTATATGGTGGAGACGAGAATACCACTGTGACTGCTTGTATGGCGGAGACGAGAATCCCATTGTGACTGCTTGTAAGGTAGAGATGAGAATCCCACTGTGACTGCTTGTAAGGTGGAGACGAGAATCCCACTGTGACTGATTGACTGGTGGAGACGAGAATCCCACTGTGACAGCTTGTATGGTAGAGATGAGAATCCTATTGTGACTGCTTGTATGGTAGAGATGAGAATCCCACTGTGACAGCTTGACTGGTGGAGACGAGAATCCCACTGTGACAGCTTGTATGGTAGAGATGAGAATCCTATTGTGACTGCTTGTATGGTAGAGATGAGAATCCCACTGTGGATGATTTCTTGAATCGTGGAGACGAGAATTTCTCTGTGACAGCTTATATGGTGGAGACGAGAATACCACTGTGACTGCTTGTATGGCGGAGACGAGAATCCAACTGTGACTGCTTGTAAGGTGGAGACGAGAATCTCACTGTTACTGCTTATAAGGTGGAGACGAGAATCCCACTGTGACTGATTGAATATTGGAGAAGAGAATCCCACTGTGACTGCTTGTATGGTAGAGATGAGAATCCCACTGTGACTGCTTGAATGATGGAGACGAGAATCCCACTGTGACTGCTTGTATAGTGGAGACGAGAATCCCACTGTGACTGCTTGTATGGTGGAGACAAGAATCCCACTGTGACTTCTTGTAAGGTGGAGACGAGAATCCCACTGTGACTGCTTGAATGGCGGAGACGAGAATCCCATTGTGACTGCTTGTAAGGTGGAGATGAGAATCCCACTGTGACTGCTTGAATATTGGAGACGAGAATCACACTGTGACTGCTTGTATGGTAGAGATGAGAATCCCACTGTGACTGCTTGAATGATGGAGACGAGAATCCCACTGTGACTGCTTGGATTGTAGAGACGAGAATCCCACTGTGACTGCTTGTATGGTAGAGACGAGAATCCCACTGTGACTGCTTGTAAGGTGGAGACGAGAATCCCACTGTGACTGCTTGAATGGCGGAGACGAGAATCCCATTGTGACTGTTTGAATGATGGAGACGAGAATCCCACTGTGACTGCTTGTAAGGTGGAGACGAGAATCCCACTGTGGATGATTTCTTGAATCGTGAAGTGAGATTTTCTCGGTGACAGCTTGTATGGTGGAGACGAGAATCCCACTGTGACTGCTTGTATGGTGGAGACGAGAATCCCATTGTGGCTGCTTGTAAGGTGGAGACGAGAATCCCACTGTGACTGCTTGTAAGGTGGAGACGAGAATCCCACTGTGACTGCTTGTAAGGTGGAGACGAGAATCCCACTGTGGATGATTTCTTGAATCGTGGAGACGAGATTTTCTCTGTGACAGCTTATATGGTGGAGACGAGAATCCCACTGTGACTGCTTGTATGGCGGAGACGAGAATCCCATTGTGACTGCTTGTAAGGTGGAGACGAGAATCCAACTGTGACTGCTTATAAGATGGAGACGAGAATCCCACTGTGACTGCTTTTAAGGTGGAGACGAGAATCCAACTGTGGATGATTTCTTGAATCGTGGAGACGAGATTTTCTCTGTGACAGCTTGTATGGTGGAGACGAGAATCCGACTGTGACTGCTTGTATGGTGGAGACGAGAATCCCACTGTGGCTGTTTGAATGGAGGAGGCGAGAATCTAACTGTGTTCCACTGCTTGTGTGGTGGAGATGAGAATCCCCCTTTGGATGATTGCTAGAATCGTGTAGACGAGAATTCCTCTTTGACAGCTGGTATGGTGGAGACGAAAATCCGACTGTGGGTGCCTGCTTTTGTGCTGGAGATAAGAATCCCACTGGATGATTGCTTGAATCGTTTTGACGAGAATTCCTCTAGGACAGCTTGTATGGTTGAGATGAGAAACCCACTGTGCCTGCTTGTATGGTGGAGGTGAGAATCCCACAGTGACTGTTTGTATGGTGGAGATGAGAATCCCACTGTGACTGTTTGTATGGGGGAGATGAGAATCCCACTGTGACTGTTTGTATGGGGGAGATGAGAATCCCTCTGTGGCCACTGCTTGAATGGTGGAAATAAGAATCCCACTTTGGATGTCTGCTGGTGTGATGGAGATGAGAATCCCTCTGTGGCCCCTGCTTGAATGGTGGAAATATGAATCCCACTGTGGATGACTGCTGGTGTGATGGAGATGAGAATCCCTCTGTGGCCACTGCTTGAATGGTGGAAATAAGAATCCCTCTGTGGCCACTGCTTGAATGGTGGAAATAAGAATCCCTCTGTGGGCCACTGCTTGAATGGTGGAAATATGAATCCCACTGTGGATGACTGCTGGTGTGATGGAGATGAGAATCCCTCTGTGGGCCACAGCTTTTATGGTGGACTGAAGCAGTGGAGGTGACCACATGTGATCCTTGTTGTTAATGAGACACACTGCTGTGTGTACACAGAGGATTCGTGTGGCACATCAGCCAAGTCAGGTGCACCGCAGTTACATGCATTAAGTCCTGATGATCCTGTTTCAAGTCACTTTCCAATGCTGTTTTGGTAGTAGGCGTCTTCATATTGCGTTAATCTGTGTTTCAGATTTGTACATCGATTCTCCAACATCAACGTTTTCAAGCGCCCCCCTAACGTCATCTTACTCGACATCAACGACGACACACGATCAAGCGGTCAGTTCACACGTGTCTTCAGCGACTTCGGAGATATTGCAGACGGACCCCCTGGCTGACACTGAGGTCCCCACGACAGGTATAAAAACATCCTTCCTACACCACGACAGTCCCTCTATCACAGACACGCTGGATGACACAGAAACCAGTATACAACCGAGTTTCGCTTCAACCCATTATACCACTAGTCCAATAACTCCGCAGTTACTGGACATGATGTCACAGGCACGTGACGACACTACAAACATAGAGTTGTCTACCTTTGAGAACAGCCATTTTCAAACCGGTCACCCAACGGCTTCTGTGACTGCATCTACGCCTGGTTCGTCGGTCGTTGCAGAAAGATTTTGTCTATGCCGATGCAAGATATTGTTCCCACACACTAGTGCATTATTAGAAGAACTGGATGTCGAGATTAAGAAGAGGCTTCTCCTTTCAGCCACAAATACTTCAAGTTACATTCGAAGTAAACGAAGCGCAAAAAATGTAAAACCTAGCGAACAATATATTGGCCTCTTTGGCATGTTTTTAATTTCATTTGTCTCTGCTTTAGTTGTACTGCCTGATGTAGTAGGCCTGTTTCGATTTTTGTGTGGGCGCCAAGGAAGAAACTGATCACGTGGGTACCGTTATACAAAGCGATCTTAGCGCTAAGGCGATCGTAACTCCCATACCTTAACATAGACTTACGTCAGTCGTAGCGCTAAGGCGATCGTAACTCCCATACCTTAACATAGATTTACGTCAGTCGTAGCGCTAAGGCGATCGTAACTCCCATACCTTAACATAGACTTACGTCAGTCGTAGCGCTAAGGTGATCGTAACTCCCATACCTTAACATAGACTTACGTCAGTCGTAGCGCTAAGGCGATCGTAACTCCCATACCTTAACATTGATTTACGTCAGTCGTAGCGCTAAGGCGATCGTAACGCCCATACCTTAACATAGACTTACGTCAGTCGTAGCGCTAAGGCGATCGTAACTCCCATACCTTAACATAGACTTACGTCAGTCGTAGCGCTAAGGCGATCGTAACTCCCATACCTTAACATAGACTTACGTCAGTCGTAGCGCTAAGGCGATCGTAACTCCCATACCTTAACATAGACTTACGTCAGTCGTAGCGCTAAGGCGATCGTAACTCCCATACCTTAACATAGACTTACGTCAGTCGTAGCGCTAAGGCGATCGTAACTCCCATACCTTAACATAGACTTACGTCAGTCGTAGCGCTAAGGCGATCGTAACTCCCATACCTTAACATAGACTTACGTCAGTCGTAGCGCTAAGGCGATCGTAACTCCCATACCTTAACATAGACTTACGTCAGTCGTAGCGCTAAGGCGATCGTAACTCCCATACCTTAACATAGACTTACGTCAGTCGTAGCGCTAAGGCGATCGTAACGCCCATACCTTAACATAGACTTACGTCAGTCGTAGCGCTAAGGCGATCGTAACTCCCATACCTTAACATAGACTTACGTCAGTCGTAGCGCTAAGGCGATCGTAACTCCCATACCTCCCTGGATCGACCTGTACATACCTGGATCTACCTTAACATTCCTAGATCTACCTTCACATACCTGGATCTACCTTTACATACCTGGATCTACCTTCACATACCTGGATCTACCTTTACATACCTGGATCTACCTTCACATACCTTGATCGACCTGTACATACCTGGATCTACCTTCACGTACCTGGATTTACCTTCACATACCTGGATCTACCTTCACGTACCTGGATTTACCTTCACATACCTGGATCTACCGTCACGTACCTGGATCTACCGTCACGTACCTGGATCTACCTTCAAATACCTGGGTCTACCTTTACATACCTTGACGTACCTGGATCAACCTGTACATACCTGGATCTACCGTCACGTACCTGGATCTATCGTCACGTACCTGGATCTACCGTCACGTACCTGGATCTACCTTCATATACCTGGATCTACCTTTACATACCTTGACGTACCTGGATCAACCTGTACATACCTGGGTCTACCTTCACATACTTGGATCTACCTTCACTTATCTGGACCTATCAGAATGCATGGGCGGACCTCTCATCAATTCCGGACACACAATAAAGTATTTTCAGTATTGCCTGTACCTGAACCGGATATGAGAACGCTGAATGTCAGAAAATGTGATACACAGAACGCTAGCTTATTGGAACCTAATGTGTCAGTTTCTTTCTTTTGTTACAAAAGACCAAGGTGCAGTAGCGAGGTGATGTCCCTACTTTTATATCGACAAAAAAACATTTCCACACTCACAGGATATACACTCACTGCCTAAAGGAACGCGAACCACAGAGAATTGTCACGTTAAGAAGAGATGTTTCCAGTGTGTACCACTTAATGACAAAACTAACAATCATTCACGTGTCACCACAGAGTGTCTTTATTCGTATCACAATATGCTGCACGTGATTTCTAAACTTTACACGCTAAACCTGCACGAGACAAATGGTGCATCTCGAGTCATGGATCTATGACGTCACATTTGATGCGTTCATGAGCATCGGTTCACACAACATACCAATATGCTCGTCTGTGTATCTAACCAGTCTTACGTCTCTGGAACATGAGTAAGTCTTCATATATGGTATTTGCGTTTCTTTTGTCGGTGAGTATATATCCATTGCACAGTGTGATGTCACTGCCCTATTTGGCTACATTGTTGTGTAATCTGGATCAGACACTCCACGTTCAAGATAAGAAGGCAGACAATGTGTGTCGATGTATCGATGTATGGATCAGACCCTCCACTTTCAAGAATAAGTGGCAGACAATGTGTGTCGATGTATCGATTATTAGTAAGATTGACCTGTAGGTTAAGAGCATGTTGGTAGCTCACCTGTGTGATCGATGTACGACGTGTGACGGTCCCGGGGACGTCTTTAGTCATTGTTTACCACATCCTCATTGTTTACCACATCCATATATATCCGAGTTATTGATGGGGACGTCATCAACCAGGGTCGACACTGTGTTTGTGATTTTCAGTCGTAGTTACATTCGGTCCAGATTACACTGATTCTATGGTGCACTTATTCTTACCCATGATAAACGGTAACGACTGCTTCTTTGTTTGTTTCTCATCCATGATTTGTGAAAGTCTGACATAAGATTGATAGTAACCACAGTGTATGGTATTGCAGCAACGTGGCTACCATAGCAACAACTGTTTATTCTCTAACAATTCTATTTCCTAAACTTGATGTTCTCATGTCGAAGCACGTATTACAACCTACAGTAAACTACGCTTAAAACGAACTCCAAGGGACCACTTATTTTAGTTCGTAATAACCGTAGTTCGTTATAAGCATATTTACAGCATATATGCAACAAATGGCCGGGACTAAAAAATAAATTCGTTGTATCGGTTAGTTCGTTATAAGCGTGTTCGTTATAAACGTAGTGTACTGTAATATATTTTGTTGTTGGGTGTAACTAGATACTAGACAAACTAACTAGATAATAACTCAGTTGTAGAAATAAGGAAAAGTGTTCACAAGAATAAGCAGACCGAAACTCTCCTACCCAGAATTCAATCCAAAAACCCGTGTTACAAATAAAAGGTCATAAAATGAAGAAATAATTATTATTAACCAAACATGAGGTGATAACAACTGACTTTTTTCACACGTCGCCACTTCCGGGTTGAATGCGAGGCTTGGAGTGCGTGAGGTGAAGAGTGGACAGCGTTGCACATAGCGCGATGTCAACAATTTGGCCGTCCCGGGGTATCATGGTGACTAACATCGTAAGTTTGCAACTAAATATTCTGCTGTCGCCATGTCTCATCATTGCAATTATTCAGCAAGTGAGCCTGACCATTCTGTCGTAATTTCAAATTCAAATGCCCTTGATCACCTGGTAACTCCCAGTGCTGAATCAACTTAATACAAACATTCTTGACCACCCGATACCTCCCAGTGCTGAACCAACTTAATACAAACATTCTTGACCACCCGATACCTCCCAGTGCTGAACCAATTTAATACAAATATCCTTGATCACCCGATACCTCCCAGTGCTGAACCAACTTAATAGTTGAAGCAGGATCGAGTCAACGTGATGTTGCAAGACAATTTAACGTCCACAGAAACACTATTTGGTGTTTACGGCAACGTTGGCAACAGACGAATGCAGTCAGAGACCATCCTCGGAGTGGCAGGCCACGCGTAACCAATAATCGACAAGACAGCTGGATTCGAACAACACGTCTACGAAATCGATTCCAGCCAGCAACAGTGACTGCAAGAAGCATCCCTGGCCTTCGACGAATATCTTCACAAACCGTACGTCGTCGCCTCAGATGTGCAGGGTTTGTCGCCAGAAGCCCCGCCAGACGTCCCATTTTGACAGGAAACCACCGTCTACAGTGGTGCAGACAGCGTCTACGCTGGACGGCCATGCAGTGGGGGCAAGTTCTATTCACTGACGAGTCTCATTTTAACCTCAGCCACAGCTATGGACGGATTCGAGTGTACCGACGTCGAGGTGAACGTTACGTCAATCATTGTGTCATTGAAGAAGATCGGTTCGGGGGCGGCAGCGTGATGGTATGGGGTGGGATTACAGCAAGACAGAGGACCCGTTTGATAGTCGTAGAGGGAGATCTCAATGGACAGAGCTACCGCGACGAGATCATCGGCCCTGTTGTTCTACCGTTTTTGCGTCGTCATGGCCCAGGCATCACCTTTCAATATGACAACGCCCGCTCTCATATTGCTCGACTTGTTCAGGTTTCTCTTCAACAAAACAACGTGAACGTCATCCCCTGGCCGGCTCGCTCCCCTGATCTCTCACCAATCGAGCACATGTGGAATGAGATGGATCGGCCCCTTCGACGTCAACCACGTGTTCCACAAACACTCCAGTAACTTTGAAACATGCTCCAGCAGATATGGACAGATATCCAACAGGACTTTCTGCGACGCCTGGTCCATTCCATGAGACGAAGATGTGTTGCTTGCATCGCAACCAGAGGTGGACACACACGCTATTGATTTGTAAATTGACACTTTGTCATGTTCATGTTTTTTTAAAGAAATCACGCATTTTCCGAAGTCAGTATGGCAAATTAAACCATTTGAACACTTACAGGAGTCTTTTATCTGTTGCAAACCGAAATTGTTTCAGATTTGGTAAAAAAACATAACTTTGCATTAAATCTTATTCCATGTCACAGGAACTTTTGTTGTTCCGTATATTTAAAACAATGGGTTGTTTAATTGAGTGGACCAGAAATATGTTAAATGTTTACTGAAAGCTTTTTAACTGTCACTGTCAATATATAAAAAGTATTTAAAATACTATGATTAAAACGCTTTTTATAATTCCGACCTGACCTGAATGTTTAGGCGAAAAATGTGTAACACAAACCTCCTAAAAGTCTGCCCTAACTAACTAGAAATAGTCACTTGCAGATCTACCCCATCATCATGAAAACAACTAGTTTGATGTTTTAAGTAGTGTTATGTTTCATACATAATGGATGCAATACAGACACTCCGTGTTCAGTGTGTTCTAAATGTTAACATACATGTATCTCGTATATCATGTGGTAAAACTCAATTTCTATAACAAAATACAGTTTGTGCTTTTGTTTAATTTGTGTTTTCACTAAACATGCTTAATATGCGTAAATTCTGTTTTATTTTGAATAATGTACTTAGAAAACATTAAACCATTGTGATGACTGGGATCAGTTATGTAAATTAAGTTATATGATATATCAAATAATATTTTGTTATCCTGATGTAATAATGTTCAAGATGCACTTGTTGTTACTGTGTTGGTATGCAGTCATATTGTTACAGTGTTATCCTTCTGTCGTCATTATTTAACCTACACATGTTGTAACTGTTAATCCTCCATCTACTATATATATTATGTCCCATGTTTATTATTCAGCCTTGCTTGACAACGGTATAATTATCCATACCGGAACGTCGCCTTTACAGTTAATAAAGGAGTTGTTATCCATAACGTGTGTCTACCTTTCCACCCGTCAGGTAATGCCTATCAAACCATTCATTTTTTCGAAATGAACTGCCACCCTTTACTCCATGTTATATGTGTCGATTTGAAGGAAACTGTCTCCCTTTATTCAAAGGCAGGCCATTTGTAATTTCCCTCAAATCTTCACGGGATATTTTCAAAACGATGCTTGGATCACCTTGGACGCGTTGGCACGGACATCTCGCTAAGAACTCGCTGACCACAATGTCACAGACCAGCTTGTTTGTTTGCTGTGTAACGCCCCACTCAGCAATAGTCCAGCCGTAGAAATTTGGACACGACGACATGCATGAGCATACCGTCAGTCGGCTCTTAAGACACTCATAGGCTGCTGAAGACGAATTCTAGTCCCGGATCTTCACAGACTCGGTTAAGATGATCTCACTTAAACTGCTTATCATGATGAGGTACACTGTTACTGACAGTTAGCTGGCAGGAGTTTTTAATATTACAGTGTACTCCTTATTTGCTCTTCACATTTCATCCACATTTCACAATATTTAAATAAATATAAGCGACGAAACCATGTCGGTAATCTATTATACAAGTCTACTACGTCATAGGCATGTGTTCCTGGGACTAGTCATGTCTGGTTCAAGTGGGTAAATCAATGGAAAGGAATCGGCGTTTATCACATTACGGCTATACCTGAAACGTTTTGTGTTGGTCAATCCGAGCAGAAGTTCTGTCTCATATGCATAGAAACATAGCAGCATGTCGAGGAGCACAATCGTGGTTGCCGACTTCTTGCCTCAATGTCTGACCCCCACATTGTACGGAGATGTGATCGATGAGGAAGTTCAGCATTTCACGTATTGTCTTCCCAGTACAATTCAGATACGTGCTTCTGACGATAGATATGTAACTATATCAATGGCCACCACGCTAGTTGACAAATACTCCAAATCTGGGATGTGGATAGTGTGAAAAACAGAATGGAACTTGGTTCTTTTCTTTCACTGAACATTTAACGCAGTTTCTTTGACTTTTTTAGAATCCACGTGATATGAATACCTCTTGTCTCAAATACGTTAAGTAAATATAAAGAAAGTTTGTAGTTGGTGGTCTACTGGTGAACCTATATCTCGTTATAGCATGTAGGGGAGCATTCATCAAAGACTGTAGTTGGTGGTCTCCTGGTGAACCTATATCTCGTTATAGCATGTAGGGAGCTCTCATCAAAGACTGTAGTTGGTGGTCTACTGGTGAACCTATATCTCGTTATAGCATGTAGGGGAGCATTCGTCAAAGACAGGACGAAACAGAAAACTAAGTTGAAAGATGCGTCAGTAAAATCTTCACGAAGGACTGAGTTGCTTGTTGTCTGGGACTCTGGTTTGTTTTGAGTGAGAAGTGGATTTTACCGCTAGACTGAGATCTATGTCAGGGTGATCGCAAAGAACTTGATAGCCTTTTTAATTATTAACACAAAACCCGTAGACAACAAAACGAGATCAGTGACATCGCCCGGTCCAATGATGGAAACACAAGCCCTGTCAATTCTATTTTCAGCCAATCAGTAACTAGTAGTCCGTTAGGGAGGGTTTGCAAGTGTTTTTTTGTTTAAGGAATCATAAACGCTGAATAAATGTTTGGCTAACCAATAAAATGCCACGGAAACCATGCATTTTTTTATTCAAAAGTGAAAAAAACAACTTTTTAACTGCCATATCAACTTTGGTGACATATATTTATAAACTGAGGCTCTGTGGAGGTATGCAGAGAACGTGACTTTATGTACCGTTATCTGTTTGAACAAAGATGTACCATATAGACAGACAAAGTTGGGAATAAGAAACAATTGTAACCGGCAGTATAAAACTCTCTTTTTTCCACAGCTTTGTTGAATGATGAGTTGTAAGTGCACCTACCAAACGACCGAGGTGCGAGGGATGCCCGGGTTTTGATAATCGTCCTGAAGATTCGTATGTGATATTGCGGTCTTATGACCAGTATTATGTCAGTATATTACCTGACTTAAAGACCTCCAAACTCGGCAACACCATCCGCTGCGCTGAGCACACAGTCCATGTGAGTGTGTCATGTCGACACATTCCACCCACAAATAAAGTCACGAAAATATTTTATTCACTCGATCTACTATTTGACAACGATAATCTCAGCTTTGTGTGTTTCGTTGTTTTGTTTGCCGTGACAGCTATTTTACGGACTGGGCTTCCGTCTTTCTGAGTGTTACCTTTGACCTCGGAAGGCTTAAAGAGTTCAAGGTCAGACGATCGCTGATTGTAAGGTCGTTTAACAGATTTGGAATCCCCCTTTGTCGTGTCTTTGTCACCGTCGGGCTTGCGAGTCCGGGCGAAGTTGTCATAAGCATTGCCGTCAACAATTTTCATTTCAAATTTGTTGATCCATTGTTTATTAGTCCCGGAATCAGAAACACTTGTCTTAACTGTTTGACACAATGTGGCACCGGAGCTCTCTGATGCCTTCCGGCTGAGGTCCTGGTAGAGGGAATTGTCATGCCGGTTGAGAATGTCGGCGAGGGTCCTGCGGGTGTCTATGGAGGTGTGTGTAGTGTGGCCGACATTGTCGGAGTTAACGTCAACAAATAAACTACTACCGTCACTTATATTCGATGGCGGCCTATCACCGGTGTCCTGACGTACGTCTAACAAGGATGACGTCTTCTTGACGCCATCACAAACCTCGTTGTAACCTGGCATGCGTGGAAGCCTGTCTGTGACGAATCCAGAACTATGGTTGCGACTTTTGCGCTTCTCCCTCGAACATAATCTCAGTGATTTGGTTAACGGTATGTTGATTCCCTTCCCGAACAAGCCCATCTCGCCCTTGAGGGACGGGATCGCATCAGTGCTGTGTAAATTAGTCCGTGTCCGAGTCAGCTGCCGCATCAGCGAACCGTCCATGAACGTTCCACTCATGAAACTATCAAGAAGAGTCGCGTCACCTTGACCTTCAATCTCAGTTGACCTTAACCGGAAAGGAATGTTGGGAAGGACGTCACCTTGACCTTTCACTCCCCGGTGTTGTTTCTGGAATGACCAGAGGCTCTCTCGGTGGCTCTGGCCGTCATCGCGGGGGGTATCGATGATGCACGAGCTGACGCTGGTCACGGTTGGGCGGACAGAGGGGACTCTCGGAACAGCTGGACAACTGGGGGGGATGTTTGGGAGGCGGTAGGTCTTGACCCCATCCATCGTCCTTCACCTTGACAGTCATACGTCTGTCCGACACGCTGCTGGGCTGTGGGAGCAGTCAGGCATTGAGACGCTTCTGCAAAGTAAACACTTGATTCAAACAATGTACATGTATGTCTATTCAAAGATTCTAATTTCGTAGCAAAAATACACATAACCCCTACCGGGGAACAATCCATTAGCTGGTGGCAAACATTCGAACAGCTGATTGAGTTGTGTGTGCGTGTCAATACAGGTAATCTGATAATCTACGTTTGATGAAACCAGGTCCACGTCAGGGGTGTTCTTCTTCTGGAAAGTCAATAATATGAATTACAATATGTACAAAATATTAATCTTGATATATCAATCAATATATCAGGTAATATTACATGTGACACAACCCACAAGATAGCAAACAGCACACTATATAGCATACAACACACTATATAACATACAACACACTAGATAGCATACAACACACTAGATAGCATACAACACACTAGATAGTATACATCACACTAGATAGCATACAGCACACTAGATAGCATACAACACACTAGATAGCATACAGCAAACTAGATAGCATACAACACACTAGATAACATACAGCACACTAGAAATCACAGGGCGTCCGATAGTGGAGCGTTGAAGTACACTGCACACGGCGTGCCAGATAATATGTTGCATATCAACTCTCTCCCACCCTCTCCCGCTCTCTCCCACCCTCTCCCACCCTCTCCCGCTCTCTCCCAACCTCTCCCGCTCTCTCCCAACCTCTCCCGCTCTCTCCCGCTCTCTCCCGCTCTCTCCCGCTCTCTCCCAACCTCTCCCAACCTCTCCCACCCTCTCCCGCTCTCTCCCGCTCTGTCCCAACCTCTCCCACCCTCTCCCGCTCTCTCCCACCCTCTCCCGCTCTCTCCCACCCTCTCCCGCTCTCTCCCAACCTCTCCCGCTCTCTCCCGCTCTCTCCCGCTCTCTCCCACCCTCTCCCGCTCTCTCCCACCCTCTCCCGCTCTCTCCCAACCTCTCCCGCTCTCTCCCGCTCTCTCCCGCTCTCTCCCACCCTCTCCCGCTCTCTCCCACCCTCTCCCGCTCTCTCCCAACCTCTCCCGCTCTCTCCCACCCTCTCCCGCTCTCTCCCGCTCTCTCCCGCTCTCTCCCGCTCTCTCTCCCGCTCTCTCCCGCTCTCTCCCGCTCTCTCCCGCTCTCTCCCGCTCTCTCCCGCTCTCTCCCACCCTCTCCCGCTCTCTCCCAACCTCTCCCGCTCTCTCCCAACCTCTCCCGCTCTCTCCCAACCTCTCCCAACCTCTCCCGCTCTCTCCCGCTCTCTCCCGCTCTCTCCCGCTCTCTCCCAACCTCTCCCAACCTCTCCCACCCTCTCCCGCTCTCTCCCGCTCTGTCCCAACCTCTCCCACCCTCTCCCGCTCTCTCCCACCCTCTCCCGCTCTCTCCCAACCTCTCCCGCTCTCTCCCGCTCTCTCCCGCTCTCTCCCACCCTCTCCCGCTCTCTCCCACCCTCTCCCGCTCTCTCCCGCCCTCTCCCACCCTCTCCCGCTCTCTCCCGCTCTCTGTCGCTCTCTCCCACCCTCTCCCACTCTATCCTGCTCTCTCCCGCTCTCTCCCGCTCTCTCCCGCTCTCTCCCGCTCTCTCCCACCCTCTCCCGCTCTCTCCCGCTCTCTCCCACTCTATCCTGCTCTATCCTGCTCTCTCCCGCTCTCTGGTACTTTCTGCCGCTCTCCCCAACACTATCCCACACTCTCTGCCTCTCTCTGCTGCTTTCTTCCCCTCTCTCCCACTCTCTGCCACTTTTTCCTGCACTCTGCCGCTCTCTGTCGCTCTCTGCCACTCTCCTCCGCTCTCTCCCCTCTCTCTCTTTCTCTCGCTCTCTGCCTCTCTCTGTCGCTCTCTGCCGCTCTCTCCTACTCTCTCCCCCACTCTCCCACACGCTCTCCCGCTCTCTGCCTCTCTCTGCTGCTTTCTTCCTCTCTCTCCCACTCTCTGCCACTTTTCCTGCACTCTGCCGCTCTCTTCGACTCTCTCCCACTCTCGCCCGCTTTCCTACTCTCCCCCGTTCTCTTCCGCTCTCTCCCACTCTCCCCCGCTTTCCTACTCTCGGCCGCTCACTTCCACTCTCTATCACTCTCTGCCTCTCCCTCCCGTTCTCTTCCGCTCTCTCCCACGCTCTCCCATTCTCTGACGCTCTCTTCCGCTCTCTCCTTCTCAATCCCTCTCTCTCTTACTCTCTTCCACTCTCTCCCTCTCTCTGCCTCACTCTGCCATTCTCTGCCACTCTCTCCCACGCTCTCGAAATCTCTCCCTCTCACATCCGCTCTCTCACGCTCTCTCCCTCTCACTCCCCTACTCTGCAACTCTCTCCCACTCTCGGCCTCTCCCTCCCATTCTCTTCCAGGGTAGGTCGGGTAGCCTAGTGGTCAAAGCGTTCGCTCGTCACGCCAAAAACCCGGGTTCGATTCCCGACATGGGTACAATGTGTGAAGCCCATTTCTATTGTCCCCCGCCGTGATATTGCTGGAATATTGCTAAAAGCGGCGTAAAACCATACTCACTCACTCACTCACTCACTCCCATTCTCTCCCACTCTCTGCCTCTCTCTCTCTACCACTCTCTGCAACTCACTCCCACTTTCTCCCACTCTCTGCCTCTCTTTCCCATTCTCTGCCTCTCTCTCCCCCACTCTCCAAATCTCTCACTTACGCTCTCTCACGCTCTCTCACACATCACGCAACCCATCCGCTCTCAGCCAGTGCGATCTCTTTCCGCCATGAATTCTGTCGCTACTCAGAAGCTCCGTGCATGACGTCATCGCTTCTCAACACCTCCCTTGTCGAAGGGTTAATCCTGGCTTAGGGCCCTAAATCCTTAATGACCCGGAGCTCCTTTAATACCTCGACTTGGTTACGGTTAAGTACACTGATTTGCCTTAACAGAGGAGGCCTCGGCTCTCCGGGTAACGCTCTTCTGTAGCGCCCGGCTGTGTCAGAAGTCTGCTACTGGTTTGTGAAGGAATTACAACGGCAAGACACACCACAACAGTGGGAGTGAGTGAGTGAGGGAGTGAGTGAGTGAGTGTGGTTGAACGTCGCTTTTTGGCAAAATACCAACAATATCACGGCGGGAGACACCAGAAATGGGGTTCACACATTGTACCCATATCGGGAATTGAACCCGGGTCTTCGGTGTGACAAACGAACGCTTTATCCACTAGGCTACCCTACCGCCCCCGCAAGCCAGTGGTCGGTCAGTGCGTGGCCACGATCTCTCGGTCTCTCCACTGACCAATGAAGCCCTGAGGAGGTCAGTGGCTGACCTAATGACCCCTTCTGATGCGACTGGCCTGTATGTGCTGCTTGATACAGTGTTGCATCTATACAACTGGACACGCCAGCAGAACAATCGATGTACGGCGCCACACACTCAACCATAGAGGCTAGTTCCATGTCAGCTGATGGTTGGTTCTCCTCCTGAATACTGACCCACTCACTCACCCCAACTACTCCTCCTGATTACTGACCCACTAACCCCAACTACTCCTCCTGATTACTGATCAACTCACCCCAACTACTCCTCCTGATTACTGACTCAATCATTCACCCCAACTCCTCCTCCTGATTACTGACCCACTCACTCACCCCAACTTCTACTCCTGATTACTGACTCAATCATTCACCCAAACTACTCCTCCTGATTACTCACTCAACCCAACTACTCCTCCTGATTACTGACTCACTCACTTACTCACAACTCCTCCTGATTACTGACTCAATCATTCATCCCAATTACTCCTCCTGATTACTGACCCACTCACTCACCCAAACTACTCCTCCTGATTACTGACTAAATCATTCACCCAAAATACTTCTCCTGATTACTCACTCAACCCAACTTCTCCTCCTGATTACTGACTCACTCACTCACCCCAACTACTCCTTATCATTACTGACTCACTCACACCAACTATTTTTCCTGATTACTCACTCACCCCAACTACTCCTGATTACTGACTTACTCACTCACTCCACTTAAACCTCTTGAATACTCACTCAACCCAAATACTCCTCCTGATTACTCACTCACTCACCCCAAATACTCTTCCTGAATTACTGACTCACTCACCCCCACTACTCCTCGTAATTACTGATTCACTCACCCCAACTACTCCTCCTGATTACTCACTCACTCACTCACCCCAACTGCTCCTTATTGTTACTGACTCACTCACCCCAACTACTCCTGATTACTGACTCACTCACTCGGCCCAACTACTCCTTATTGTTACTGACTCACTCACCCCAACTACTCCTGATTACTGACTCACTCACTCACTCCACTTAAACCTCTTGAATACTCACTCACCCCAAATACTCCTCCTGATTACTCACTCACAAACCCCAACTACTCCTCCTGATTACTCACTCATTCACTCACTCCAACTACTCCTTATGATTACTGACTCACTCACCCCAACTACTCCTCCTGATTACTCACTCACTCACTCGGCCCAACTACTCCTTATGATTACTGACTCACTCACCCCAAATACTCTTCCTGATTACTGACTCACTCACCCCCACTACTCCTCGTAATTACTGATTCACTCACCCCAACTACTCCTCCTGATTACTCACTCACTCACTCACCCCAACTGCTCCTTATTGTTACTGACTCACTCACCCCAACTACTCCTGATTACTGACTCACTCACTCGGCCCAACTACTCCTTATGATTACTCACTCACTCACCCCAACTACTCCTCCTGATTACTGACTCACTCACCCCAAATACTCCTCCTGATTACTCACTCACAAACCCCAACTACTCCTCCTGATTACTCACTCATTCACTCACTCCAACTACTCCTTATGATTACTGACTCACTCACTAACCCCAACTACTACTCCTGATTTCTGACTCACTCACTCACCCCACTTAAACCTCTTGAATACTCACTCAACCCAAATCCTCCCCCTGATTACTGACTCACTCACCCCAACTACTCCTCCTGATTACTGACTCACCCCGACTACTCCTGATTAATCCCTCACCCCAACTCCTCCTGATTACTGACTCACTC